TAGTTTCATCAGTCCACAGCACCTTATTCCAAAATGAAGCTGGCTTGTCCAAATGTGCTTTAGCATACCTCAAGTGACTCTTTTTGTGGCATGGGCGGAGAAAAGGCTTCTGCCACATTACTCTCCCATACAGCATGTCCTGCAAAGTGTGCTGAATAGTTGAATGATGCACAGGGACACCATATGCAGCAAGATCATGTTGTAGGTCTTTGGAGCTGGTCTGTGGGTTGAGTTTGACTGTTCTCACCATCCTTCGCCTCTGCTTATCTGAGATTTTTCTTGGCCTGCCACTACGGGCCTTAACTAGAACTGTGCCTGTGGCCTTCCATTTCCTCACTATGTTCCTCACAGTGGAAACTGACAACTGAAATCTCTGAGCTAGCTTTTTGTATCCTTCCCCTAAACCACGATGTTGAACAATTTTTGTTTTCAGGTCATTTGACAGTTGTTTTGAGGCTCCCATGTTGCCAGTCTTCAGAGAAGATGCAAAGGGGAACAACTTGCAACTGGCCACCTTAAATACTCTTTCTCATGATTGGCTTCACCTGTGTATGTAGGTCAAGGGTCAATGAGCTTACCAAACAATTTTTGTCTTCCAATAATTAGTGCTAAAGGTATTCAAAACAATAAAACAACAAGGGTGCCCAAATGTATGCACCTGCCTACTTTTGTTTAAATAACTTTCTGTAAATCCTATAAACTTGATTTCACTTCTTAAATATCACTGTTTGTTTGCTATGTGATATATTTAATTGAAATTGCTGTTCTGAACAACCAATGATACATAAAGGAAAATCTTGAAAATGATCAGGGGTGCCCAAACGTTTTCATACCACTGTATGTCTAACCAAATAGATATTCTCTGTGCAGTAACCCTGCCTAAATCCTGTACTGATTTAGTAATTTACCCAGAATCCACTAGCTGACATACTCACATAAATAGTATATAAATAAAGTTTTGCATTTGATGCTAAGAGCATACAGACACAGCCACTTGCTCTTAGAGTAGACAGAGGCTGGTGCATAGATAAATGGTGAAAAGGCTTTGTTCAGTCATTGCAGTGCTGACTGCACACTTATATTTAGTTCTCTGATTCATACACAGGGCAGCAGAGAAAGAGATGTCAGTGTAACTTTACCACACCACACTCCTCACAAAAGAACACATACTGTACATTCTTGTCAGTCACTGAAACGTTGACAAACTGTGAGCTGGAATGGATCTCGACTACAGAGCTCCATTTCCCTGTAGTCTCAGAATGTCATGAATGAGTCATGACATGGGTCGTGTTATAGGCTGACTGCAGCTAAAGGTTAGTGCCACTCACTCATTTGGATCAGCAGATATTGGGCATATAAGGAATGAATCACTGAAACAATGAGCAGTCATATATTCAAATGAAAGTTATTTGTTTCAACTGATTTCTTGTCATATTGTCAGCAGACAACAGTAATAAGAGTAGGATGAACAAGTTTTTAATAAATTAAAAAGCTATTTTTTGCAGCTCTGGAGTGTATAATAATTTGCAATGGATCGACAACACACACTCCAGCAGTTAGAAGATCTGCTCCACTTTGTTATATACAAAAATTTGTAGCTCTACTAGACACCTTATAAACAAAAATAAATTAAATGGGTTGGTTTACTCTTACAAATGCTAAACAAAGTATTATGTTTAAGACGTTAGACTTTGAGATTACATTTTTAGTGTATTCACTCAGGGACAAAACTGTGACGTTTCACGTGTCAAACTTAATATTATTTGAAAAATTGACTGCAATTGTGCATAATTTCCCTTCTCTCTAGATCTTGTAGAATTTTTTCATATGGAAACAAACTTTAGTTTTGTGTAAACACTGAATCTGGAACAACCAAAGCTTTATTATAAACACATGAGAAACTAAATTTGAAATAGAACACACATCAGTAGTATATGTTTCTTTATCTTTAGCCTTTTAAGTTTCTTTTAATGTAATGTTTTATTCACAGGCCAACAACAACAAAAAAAAAATAAATAAAAAAGTTTGTTCTATTACATAGCGCACACACCGCTAATACTACAAACCCTGTCTGTATATAGGGGCTATATCAGGCGTGGGCAAACTTTTTGACTCTCAGGCCACAATTGTCCTAAAATTGAACAGGGAGGCCGGCTCAGGAGCAGATAGATGAAGCTAAGATAAATGACATATAAAAGTCATGCATAAAGGCTAAAATGCTAACATACTTTTAGCATTTTCTATGCCACCTATTGAAGAAACATTTGTATTTCAGGAAAAAGGCAGAAGTATTATGATAATATAAATAAATTTGGAAAAGTTTGGTGGGCCGGATTAAAAAGCTGAACGGGCCGCATCCGGGCCGCATCCGGGCTGCATCCGGGCCTTAGTTTGCCCATGCCTGGGCTATATACTGGCGCCAAATATAATTTCACTGCAGGCCAGATTTGGCCCCCGGGCCTGAGTTTGTCTTGTATGCACTAGAAGATCACCTACACACAATTGACCCCCAAAAACCTAGGTTCCACTGAGATTTGAACTTGGATCACTGGATTCAAAGTCCAGAGTGCTAACTATTACTCTATTCAACCGTATCTGTAAAAAAAAAACAGTCCAACTATTTCACCAGAAACTAGTTTGACTGAACATGACTAAACTAAACAAACCACTGGTAGATCACAGTAATTAATACATAACTCCTGAGTCACCTTTTTCTTTAAGTTTCTCTAAATGCTTATTTTTGATCAACAACACACACTCCAGCAGACTTTTGAATAGCTTCTGCTCCACTTTGTTATATACAAAAATTCATGCTCATCTCCCACCGTCTGATAACTTTCTGCATGCTTCAACCAGTGTTTTTAGAGTACTCGCTGCGCGTTATGTTAACGCACGTCGCCACAACACAAATTCCGGGAATTGTCAGTGCAATAGTTCAAAAGATACTGAATGAAGAGGGATGATAAACAAAGCCAATACAAGTGGCAGGAGCTCTGGCTCACTCGGCAGCAGGAAATTTCAGTCTTAAGTGATACCGACGCACTGCTGACACAGCTGTGCTGGGTAATGCAAAGTAAGCTGAGATGCAGCAAGGTTATTTTGGGTCAAACAAGAGGCTGAGTGACTCCGAAACTCTTACTTTTAGGTTTTCCTTTTTTTAATTAGTGCCAATAAAAATAATCACATCTGTGTCAAGTAGAAGAATACAAAATTCAGGCAGTGTATTTAAAAGTCGTGTGGCACGATTTAAAAAAGAAAAATGACCCTGATTTTCAGACTCTAAAACGGACAGTATTTATGTTCTTATTAGTGAAATATACATGTTTAATAATTTCTCAGTTTTTATTGATTGATACATTAGTAGTTCACAGAGATTTGTTTGAATGTGAAGATTATAGATGTGTATTATAAGTCCCTTCCTTCGAACTTCTTCACAGAGAAAAAAGTGTAATTTTTTAAACTTGGTAGTTATGCTTTACTGACTGGTGAATAGTTAGAGTATTTTATTATCTCTCAATGTTATGAATTATAAATCAAACGCAGAGGGTGCTGGGGTGACAGTATTACTTCAACTTTTAATAAGCAAAAATCCCCCGCCCCTCTCCTCCCTTTGAGGCCCTTAAACTGTCAATCTTTTCATGACATATAATTTTCTTAAAATACATTTTCTGATATTCTAACAATTAATTCCTTCTGCAGATCTCCCTGGAGAATGACTATTTGGGGACTAGGCGTATTGAGACCCTGAGAAAAGAGGATTCTGATTGGCAGAAAAAAGCTCAGGAGGCAGTCCTTAGTATCCAAGAGTTTACTGTCAAATACTTTGAGATCACTGCGAGAGCTCAGAAAGGTAAGAGAGCTTAGAAAGACAGTGAAAGTATGCTGTCACTGTCTCTGCCAAGGTCAAGTCAGTAAAACAGAAGAGGAATGAACACACATACACGCACACACACACACACACACACACCACCATTGGCCTGCTTTGACCTGTGCCTGTTTTTTTTAATGCCGGGGCGAATAAGATTGAGCAGCAATGAGGCAGTGCACACATCTGCTTTTCTCACGAGGCAACAAGCATGAACTACAGATCACAACCTGTGTGACTGTAAAAGTTCATTATAATTGGTCTTGATACATGACTGGTTTCCCCTTTATGCAACATTATTGTTTAATATGAAATAAAATAACTTATAAAAACATGTATCATCAAACAAGTAAAAAAAACAAAAACCTAGTGCTACATTGGTGGCTGGCTTATATAACATCGAGCTCCGATGTTCTGTAAAGCTTGTCAAAATTAGGTCTTGTCTTGTGAATGAAATTAGTTAATTTTAGTTTATTCTTGAGAAAACAGTAGTTATATGCGTACAAAAGATACCTGAAGTGTGAAAGGAAAGTATTTTGTAGTTGTAGTTTGAGAGCAGCCACAAGAGGGCCCTGACTCACAGTAACAGAAAATTACTTCTATGCATAGAATTGATTACATTATTCTGAGTCACTGTACACCTGTTTGCCTCACATTTAGGTATGTTGGAGTGTGACATTTTTGGCACTTTTTGTGTGTGTTTCTGCAGGGGTTTATGAACGTATGAAGGTGGACCAGCGAAAGTTTGGTAAATCCTCATGGACAGCAGCGGTGGAGCGCATGGAGAGACTGCGTTATTCTGTGGCAAAGGAAACACTGCAGCTACAGAGAGCCCGGGAGATTTGCCTAGAACAGAGAAAACACACACTTCGCGAGGAGGTGTGGTACAAACAGGAGACAAACAGTATGCACTGATGCAAAAACATGGAGAGCCATGTGTCCTGTGTCCTCTTCTCTCAGATGCAGAGTCTGTGTAGCAGTGAGGATGCCATGGCCCTGCTGGACAGAATGGAGAGTCAGTACTATGAGCTTCAGCTCCAGCTCTATGACATCCAGGCAGATATACTGCAGTGTGAAGAGCTGCTCCTGACAGCCCAACTGGGTAGTATCCACAGACAAATCACAGGTGTAGTATTAGCATTTCAACAATGATGTTCTCGAAGTTAGAATATAGAACCAGTCTGAGCCAACTGAAGCCAACATTGATGTACCTCATTTTATATCAGTGTTAGTCCATTTTAAAAAACAAAATATATCACATAATGAGCAAGTACCTCAGACATTGGAGAGAATGCTCTTTTTCCTGACAGGTAGAAATATGTAGCAGTTTAAGGTAGACACTAGTTTTAACTGTGCTGCTTTTGTAAATGTCATTGTCATAGTTAACCAGTCAAATAACAGCGAACAGTATTCACTGTGTTATAACTGCTGTTTAGCACGGGAACACACAACGAGAAAACTCAGGTTCCACCGAGATTTAAACTTGGATTGCTGGATTCAGAGTCCAGAGTGCTGACCATTAGTAGCTGTTTGGGTATGGCTAGTTTGATGTTGGTTGTTTGTTATTTAAAGCCGGAATATCCTTGAATGACGTAAGGCGTTATGGTTTGAAAGCAGACATTTAGTAAACAGTCCGACTCCTTTTTATATATGAACTCAACGGCATTGATATTGAGTTGAGAGGTAATTCTCTGAACGACAATAAAAAAAGAATGACAGATTGTAGAATAATCAGTTTCAAGTCAAAGTAATCGAAATTTAATCTGTAGTACATTTTATATTCTCACTTGAATTTGATGTATTATTTTAATTTGTGAAATCATTCAGTATCCACTGCGCTGTGTATGTGAGAGTCAGACTGCGAAAAACACAGGTTCCACCGAGATTTGAACTCGGATCGCTGGATTCAGAGTCCAGAGTGCTAACCATTACACCATGGAACCATATGGACGTAAGTGAAGGGCTGCATGTGCCGTATTCACCGTGTACGTAAAACCTAGACCCTTATGTATATATTCAGCACAACACAGTATGTAAGTGTAGTAACTTTCATATCCTACATTTCCAAGCCGCTTCGTGAACGTGACATTGTTTACTAATTTTATAAAAGGTTTCCAAATGACAGCATTTCGTGCTTTCTGTTCACCTTTTAAAGTCGCGTCTCTTTATATGTGTGCACTTGTTGTCTCTAGAGCGTCAGGACGAAGTTGTTTATTATGACACCTTTGAAAGTGCAGATGACATCAAATACGACGACACATTTGAGAAAGAAGCGCTGCGCAATCTTCAGGTCAGCGCTCGACAGCTAGAAGCCAGGAGGGGGCGCATCACTGCCAAGTGCTCCTACCTGAGGAAAAAAAGGGTGTGTTTAATGTATTCACTGTCAAAGTTACCATGGGTTATGACACAGGGCATCATATCTGAATAGAAGTTTAAAAAAATATATATATATAACGATATGTTTTTGGTTTTGCATGTCTCTTCCCCACGTTTATTGATTTATATTATATATTTATTTATATTTTAACTCAACTTCTTGCAGGAAATCTGTGCTTCCAACCACACTCAGAAACAGCATGTACGTGAAAGCCTCTACAAGGATTCTCATTTACAGGTATATTTAAAATATTGACTTTATTATAGTACTGTGCAAAAAAGTTCACAATGAGATTCAAGTGTACCTCCATGACTATTTTTCAATGTTTTCTATTTTGTTTTATTTTAAACAGCATATTCTGCACATGTGTTTTTATTTTCTTATTGATTTATTTTCTACTAAATCACATTTTTCAGCTAAAAAATGAAGAAGATGAGGAGAAGAGGAACACTAGAGTCAGTCAGGAGCGACAGAGGACTCTGGACAGGCTACGTACTTTCAAACAAGTATGTCGGGGTTACATTAAAAATACCATTGAATTCTGACTGTTTTGGTAAAAACCATTATGTTCTCCTGCAGCGGTATCCAGGACAGGTGATCCTGAAGTCAACAAGGCTACGCGTGGCCCACACCAGAAGAAGAGAGCGAGAACGAAGCATGGAAATGAGCACTGTGACAGAGAGGGAAGAGTGCATCCAGACGCAGGCACAGCCGCTGTGTCTGAGCACCAGCGTTCAGACAGACCCCAGCTCCACCCTCACCACTCAGCCTGTTACAGCTTCCAAAGCCTCCCTTCCTCTGCTGCCTGTGCCTAGTCCTGCAGACTCCTCCTGTTCTCCCTGCTCCTTGTCATCGCTTCTCTCTTCCCCTATCTCCCCTCTGCCTCCCCCACCACCTCCACCTCCACTACCATCCCGTGAAAAGCTTTCACCCTCTGAGAAATCGGGTTGCCACAGACAGAAGTCAGAGGCCAAGAGCACAGCCGATGAAAGATCACTGTCCCCACTTGGACCTTTCATCCCTCGCTTCTTTGATAGCAGCCAACTGTTGAGCGCCAGGAAGAAGCTAAGGAAGACTCCAGAGTTTGATACACACAGAAAAGGTAATAAGACGCTGTAAAATAAATGGTTTTACATATATCATGTGAACTAGAGACAGATTTTGATCCACCAAAGGATGGGCTGGAATACTTGCATGACAATACCGTTTATATTTGTATATATTAATTTTATACATTTTATATTACATTTGTATTTCCTTTCAGTTTTGCAGATAAAAAAGTTAATTAAATTAAAAATGTAGGTGTCCTTGAAAAGCTAGTACATCAGAAATGTTATATTTAAACACATTTCTTAGGAGTTATTAAACATTTTCCTCTGCTGTCCTCCCGTGTCACTGCTTATAGTTAGCTCACCCATGGACGAGGTGTTGGCCTCCTTAAAGAGAGGAAGCTTCCATCTCAGGAAGGTTGACCAGGGATCCCTGCCTTCCAGCAAAAGTGACGATGACCCAAATAGCATCCTGGCTCAGATCCGTAAAGGCGTCAAATTAAGACGTGTTCCTCATAAAGAGAGAAAAGACCATGGAGAGCTGCCAGCATCTACAGACCCTCTGACCCGGAGCATTCACGAAGCTCTGCGTCGCATCAAGGAGGCCTCACCTGAGTCGGACTCAGACGATGAAGTGCTCGCTGGCCCTGAGTGGGACAGCTAGACCTTGAGGCTCTAGTGGTGAAGATATACAACCCAAAACAAATGCCAGCAACCTTTGGCTCTGCATGCACTGTACTGTACTACAATGTGGAGAGTACTGTAATGTTACACACAAACACACACTCACATACACACACAGTTCCCTGTGCCAGAGCCTGAGTCATGCTCAATATCAACTCCTTAGCAAAAGCACCCAAGGTCCACATCCACCTGTTTGTTTTGTAACACTGCGATGATCACAACATCAGCGGTTGTGTTTTGATCCTACTGTATAGCACATTGGTTTTGTCCCTGTAATCAGACTGTAAAGACACCCTGTTTACAATTTGTTTTTTGTCACTTGTGCTGATGAACAGCCCGTAATGCCCTGCCGTGGCCACATTAATATTCATAGATAGCACTCTATACTCAGCACACGGTACAGAGGCTCATTCGTGAAAACAGAACTTCATTCTGAATGGAGCGCTTAAACTTGTATGTGGAGAAAACCTGTAAACATGCAGACACAGTTTCTGTTTTGGTTTGATTGTATAATACACAGAAGTTGGTGCAGGATCATTACTAAAAGTCTGAAAATGTATGTCTTTGGGCTTTATTTGATCTACAGTAATACTAATTTTCATACTACTGTAGATTCTTTATTATATTTAGCCTTTAGAGGTCTGTCCGTGGTATCCACAGGCCACCTAAAAGAAATGGACCTATGCAGAGTTACATAATGTCAACAGATTAAAAGTGCTTGATAGGTCACTCTTTATCTGTGGCAGTCTTTGAGTTTACCTGATCTTAATTTGTTGCATCTTCATGATGTAAGTTGCTGACGCAAAAACAATCTTTTTGGCCACCTTAAAGATTAGCCAGTTATTTAAAATTGTGTCACTGGACTTAATGGATCAAAGCCTTCCCTCCCAAAGCTTGTAGTCTGAATTAATTGGAATGATTTGCAATCATAACTTCAGCCACATGGGTGTGGTGTTGCCCAGTTTTTACAGGCATTAGGAAAATCAATTGACAGTTTAGACTAATTCAGTCACAAGTCAGCACAAATACTTTCTGACTCGGACTAGAAAATGTGCACATGGAACACACCTTTGGTTTGTCACGTGTTGTTCTAGAACATTTCCTGTCTTCATCTGGCCCCACAACCTCCAACTGTCTCTGGGTGAGGGAACCATGTACCGATCCATCTGTTCAACATTGGCATATGGGCAGGCTTGCTGGAGATGCAACGAGTCACTTCATGGTTTTCCAATTTGTTGCCACTTCTTTAACTTAAAGCTGGGCACTCAGAGTGGAGGTTGTCGGAGTTGAAAGCCATTGAGTGATTCTCATGAAAACTCGTTTTCACAGATTAAAGACATGGAGTTTTTTGAAAAATTGTATCAACATATCTTCTTTTTAACCATTTTAACGTGGTTATGATTGTTGTTTTTAAAATGTAAATTTCCTTTTCAACATATTTTCCAAAACATGTCCTTGAAAATCTCATTAGCGCAATGGCCTGAAAACATCAAGACCATTCAGAAAGCCAAACGCATTCACTCTTTTTTCTACTTTTTTTTCTCATTCCCACAACGGCATTGGCAATCTCTAACCCAATAGTTTTAATAATTCATTGAAATGTGACATGTTTTCAAAATGATTTAGTAAGCACTTGATATACATGTTCTACACATGCGTTTTAAAACAAACTACTATTTTTCTATTTATTAAATTAACCTTAAATTCACACCTGTTTTGGTAATGATTAATGTATTTCAGAAATTACAATGCATGTTTCAGTTTTCTTAAAAACTCTTAAGAAATACCAACCAAACCAAAACAACATATACATGTAAAAAATAACACAGCATTTTTAACAAAACACAATCAAAATATAAGAAGGGGGAAAAATAAGGAAAAAAACTAACATGACCATGTTATGAAAAATGCCTCAAGTTTATGCTCCAAAACATGCTGCCAAGTGAATAATTTGTGCTAAAAAAATCCAAAAATGATCCTGTCTGAACATGTCAAAATATATCAAAATATATCAAAAACGAGGAAGACTATAGTTTTACTACTATCGAAAAATGCAAAGAAAGTGAATAATTTGCCAAGCGAATAATTTCTGCTAAAACCTACAAAATATACTACTTTTGGTGATATTTTCAATATGTCAAAATATCACAAATATCAAAGGGTCATTTTTTTGGCCCAAATTTGTTTCACTAAGAACATTAGAACATTAAAAAAAATGTGAAAAGCTAGCTGTATGGGTAATGATAATCAAAACTGTCATGTATGACAATAGAAAGTTTAACTTTTAACATAGATGGAAAAAGAAATCGTCTTACCTGGTAGCCATCTTGATAGTGTTTACTCATGTGTTGCATCATACAAAATCGAACTTTATTGACAACTATCTTTCCATGTGTAAAACGTCACTCAAATATGTAGCAGAGGATAAGAACTTAAGTCATGGACACTTTATTTTTCCTCTATTCTTTCATTGTTATTAAACATATAAATGTAATTAGTAATATATCTGTCATTGCAAAACATCCATTAGAGTGTCCATTACTTTTTTCTTTGACATATTTTTAGTTCTTCCTTTCCTTTCAGCTTTGTTCCTTTTTTCAGGGGTTGCCACAGCAAATCATTGATTTCCATCTCTCCCTGTTCTCTGCATCTTCTACTCTGACTCCAACTATCTGCATGTCCTCCCTCACTGCATCCATATATCTCCTCTTTGGTCTTCCTCTTTGTCTCTCTAACATTCTTCTACCAATGTATCCACTGTCCCTCCTCTGCACATGTCCAAACCATCTCAATCTGGCTTCTCTAGCTTTTTCTCCAAACCTTCCTGTCTGTGTTGTCCCTCTAATGACCTCATTCCTGATCCTGTCCATTCTTGTCACTCCTAAAGAGAATCTTAGCATCTTTAACTCTGCCACCTCCAGCTCCGCCTCCTGTCCTCTGCCTATTGCTACCGTCTCTAAACCATACACCATGGCTGGTCTCACCACCGTCCTGTAAACTTTTCCCTTCACCTTAGCTGACACTCTTCTGTCACAGATCACTCCTGACACTTTTCTCCAGCTGTTCCATACTGCCTGTACTCTATTCTTCACCTCTTTTCCACAGTCTCCTCTGCTCTGAACAGTTGATCCTAAGTACCTAAACTCCTGCACCTTCACCACCTCTGCTCCTTGTTCTATGACATTTTGTTTAATCTATTAAAATAACAACATGACAAATTCAGACAAATCTGGACACATTGAGGTAATGAGAAAGTTGTCATAAAATCAATCAAATCCAATTAAAATTAATTTCTATATTAAAATTGCTCTTTGGTCGTATAGAGAAAATAATTTGCTTTATATTATTATTTTTTGTCAATTTACTAAAATGCATGTTTTTGTAACTAAAATCATAACTGATTGTAATGACTGATTACTGTCATGTGAATGACCCCATTAGAGCAAAGCTAATGGAGTTTATTGGTCAGTGTCAGCTGCTTTTGGAACGCGTGGGCTGACACAGTCGGAGGTTCCCAAACGTGTGTGGGATAGAGGTGGCAGAGCTGTGATAATGGTCACGCTTGTTTGAATGATGGATGGTGAGTAGGAGGCCAGATTCTCTGGGAACTGCAGGCAGCCACCGTGGGCTGTAGAGCAGGCTGTTGTGATTGATGCTGTTCTCTCTGCCATCTCATTCACTTTCTCTCTTCTCCTTTGTTTCATCTTCCCTAATTCCTTCCAATGCACTGTGTAGGGATACCAAGTGGGAGGTCACTTACTGAGTCAAAGGTGAAACTTTCTCAGAAATCCATGAAAATGCTCTTATCATGCAAATCATGTCCATTTTTATGGTCAAAATTCAGAAAAAAATATACGTTTTTGGTACACCAATCTTTGATCACACTAACATACTATACTAATCATTTTCATGAACTATTCATCACATTAATATATTAATATTATTACTATTACTATTACTATTATTATTACTATTATTACTACTACTACTGTTACCAAGATTCTGAAAAAAATTCTTCAAACCATAAATAGAAATGCACTAATCTGCCTTAAAATACATAGCTATGTTCTTTTTATGGTTAAAATCCCGAATAAAAAACTTTTTTTGTACATCAAACATTGATCAAAAGTAACATACTATATTAATAATTTCATGAAAAAGTCTTTTGTATGTATTCCATCAAGAGGAAAGTACCAAGTACTAATGCAGCACCCTGTTTCACAGGTAACAATCTGTCCTCAGAACACACACCTGATTTTCCCTATTTTGGATTAGCACAACCCACAGATTAAATACTACTAGAAAGCATAGGTCCAGTGGTTTGCTATTTATTTAATTTTGAGAGTTTCATTTACAGCCAGTAACACTGATAAGTATTATTATTATTATTAATAATTATTAATTTTTCTTGTGTCCCCCATGTTCTCCTTCTCAGCTCCTAGTGCTTTCTCATTATAAATAAGGGTTTATAGGTTTTTCATGTGATCTTCGCCTTTTTCTACACACCGCTTGTCCTTGCAATGATTTTCATCTTGTCCCAGAATGTGAGTATTAATGAATATGAGGAAAAGTTGGCACAAGTCGTGTAGTACACGCACACATACTCACGCACACATGCACGCACACACACACCCACACACGCACACACACACAGACACACACACAGACACAAAGACATATTGGGTCTAGGTGACCCCCAGGTTGAAGGACCGCACAAGGGTTAACATGAAAAGAGTCATTTTTATCTATTTAGCAGCAAATAAAATTCACCAAGAGCAACACTATTTCCACTGTTTAAGTGAAGGTAATAGTGCAATGTATGAAGTTTTAAGTGTTGGCTAAAAATACTTGAAGACTGGATGGAAAACCCACAAATGTATTTGTTTTTTCGAAAACAACATTTGGATCATTTACAAACTTGACATAAAAGGGAAGCCAATACAAGGGGGCTGAAAAGGGTCGAGGTCAGGGGTGTGCAACTTGTGGCTCAAGTGCCCTTGGAAAATTATAACGTAAGATAGAAAAAGACAAATAAAATGCGATTTTCCGTGAGTTCAGATGAGCGATCTGAAAAGAATGTGCTTGTTGATAAAAATAGCAGTATATAAATGAAAACCTCCACTCCTACATCTTCCTTTATATATTTATTTTTCACAGCCTGGCCTGGCATTTGATTGGATTAAAACCTTTGTGAAAGCAGATTTGGAGATTGTCTGTTTCACTGTTGACTAAACTTTTTAAATCAACAAAAGAAGAAAACAAAATGTTACACCTTGAACTGTGTGATATTTGAATATATAAAACATTTCTTGGTTCACAGAGGTGTTTGTTGGCTGTTTAGCTCAGTCCACACACAGACAGCTTTCATCGGCATTTGGTAAATTCTTTTACCTTCAAACCCACACGTCTCACCAATCTACAAACATCTGTAGCCTGAGGTACCTCTTTAATTTCATGAGTTCAAAATTACTTTAAATAGTCAAAAATATTGCCAGTCTTTTCATACCTCTAAATACAATAATAATAATATTCATAATAATACCTACAGTTAAAGACCATAAATTACAAAACAGGAGAATGAAAAGCTCATATCCACTACTGTACAAAGGCATTCATGAACAACAGCATTATTAACAGACATAAATTAACAGATTTCCATCTCCGTCATTTCACTTTCAAAGTTAAACCAGGAAGAAAAACATTGGTAACATTCCTCTAACAGTGAGTCGTATTGCTGTGCATTAACCAGCGTAAAAGGGGACCAGGATCTTTAATGTTTGTTAATATGTTCAACATATCATTACTAGTATTACGCAACATGGCCTGATACCTTATAATACACCACTTTTAAGTCATATATTTCACATATACAACAAATAGTATTAGATGTGTTGTTCCTACATGCAACAACATACCTCTGTTGTAGTTGATCACTTCCATAAATTACTCCAGTCCACCTAATAATCTACTCCAGATTATTAGGTGCTCTGAGTTTTGAATGATTCCGCAGAACCAGGTGTCTGTCTTTTACACATGCTGCCCCTCGATGTTGGAACTGTTGGAGAAGCTGAACATGTAATTGGGTAAAGTAGTAATTAGGAAACAGATTCTTCCTAATTTGCAACTGAACGTGGAAGCTGATTTTTGCAGCATGAGAGGCTAAAGCTGCTTGTGAGTCCCTGGTCACAGTAGTAGGATTCTTCTCTAACAGGACACACCGGCTTTCCAAAGACTATTACTGTGATTGATTATCTTTTTATAAGCAAATACGATTTCCAAAACAGTCACCAGTAAGCATGGTAATTAAGGAACCTCTTTGAATGTTTGGTAAGTCTTCAACTGCCTCTGTTGCAGGAATCAATTAGACAAATGGGTTTTGTTCTCTTTTCTTCCTCTACTAGAGAATCTTTTTATTTATTTATTTTTGAAAATCTACCAACTTTTTATAAGAATCATGTGATTTTCAACTGTCATTACTCTGTGACCTCAACAACAACAAATTAGTCTTTTGGACAGTTATCTCAGATGTATCCATTGGTAAAGACTTCATCCCTTTAGTCTACACCTTTCCACTGGTTAAAACACAACAATAAGGCAGGTTGTTACTGCATTCACATTAATTATCCAGTCGTTTAAATTGTCACTATGAGTAAAAAGTGTGTCCTCTATAGTTCTATATTTATATTGTCAGTGTTATAATCTATGTATAAAAAAGATGAATAAAAACTGAGTAGAGCTCTGAATTTACCCGAGATGAGTGAACAATTTCACTGAGGTGGAGATTCACAAAAAAAGAAAAAAAGAAAAAGAAAACATGTAGATGGCGCTCCAAAAGCCCTTTGTGATGCTCTTCGATGAGACAGGGCTGCCACACAGGTTAGCGGTCGACAGTCTTACACTCTGGGTCAAACACAGGGATGGATTAAGCTGCGTTTGACCTCTCTGCATGAGTCCACTGAGTAGAATACCTGATAGAGTTACATAGAGGTGTTGCACAGAGCCTGTCTGGTATTGCTCAGTGCGTGCATGTCGGCCTTTGTGTCCAAAAAAACCTTTTCTCCCACTGCACAAAACACACACACACCCACTGACACACAATAATATTCTTATTTACAAAGATGTGTCCGCTTATGTGTGCTTTGAAGGCACACGTTAGGTCAAATGGTTAGGCCTTGTGTCAGGGACACACACCACACTGAGCTTGGCAGGAAGACAGGTCACTTTTCTGAGACGGTGGAAGCAGTCTGGATACAGGAATCCTCATGTCGGGTTGAACAAGAGCATACAGCATTAAAAACTTCTGTGTGGCATAAACAACACCTCTGGAAGATTTCACGCTCATCTATCAACTGGGATTGTTTGGAATAAACTCTAGGTGCCGCGTTTCATTTTCTTTTAAGCTCCATTTTCTGGAAGCCTTCTGTGTCACATTCCATAATTCCCTGTTTCCAGTGACTCTCCTTTTGGCAGCCGAGCTCAAACGTGGGACTCTCTCCATTCAGCACGTCTCTATACAGAATGTCACTTTGGATCAAAGCATCTGCTAAATAGAGTATAGTATTTTTTTTTATTGTTATTATTCTTTTAGAGGGGAAATTTGGCAGCTTTGGCGCAGTTCTCTCTAAGTCTTACCAGCAAATATTTTCACGTGACTTTCCAACATTCTCCTTACATGGAAGGGCAGTTAAGAGATGAAAACAAGCTTGTGTGATGAGGCAGTCTGGGTGTAGTTCTCCCTGTCAGACAGCAGATGACACTGAGGCACAGTTCTTAAGTTAACTCTTGAGTGAATATGTTTAATAGTGTGTCTATGTGTTGTGGGTGTGTGCACCAGTGCAGGCTGGAACCAACCAAGGTCTACGACTACACCAGCCAATCAGAAGGCAAGATGAGGTAGCGCCTGCATGGTGAACTAGCTGCACCGTTTTTGAGCATATTTAAAATCGGGCAGTGCAGTGTCTCAGTTTGAATGGGTGAAGGAGAAATGTGAGGCATTGTGGGTAGGATTGATTTTGTTGAGATAGAGGTGTGAGGGTACTTAAATTATTATATGGCTCTGTCTGTGGAGATCGGGCAGCTCAGTCTCTAACTGGCCTCCTCTATAAGACGAGCCAGAGTGTCTCTGAGCTCTGTCAGCTCAAAGATCTTGCCGTCCAGCAACTCCAGCAGTGTTCGCAGGCTCTTCCTGAAATTCTCCTGCTCCTCCTGGTTCTCCTCTAATCGCTGCTCTGCTCCTGCCAGCGGTGGGGGGGGGGGGGGGGGGGGGGGGGGGACAGAATTTTTGACAGTTTTTAGGTGGATTTTTATTCCCGATGAATTACACAGATAAATTTCACTTGAAGTCTCACTCACTTCAAGTTTCTGGGTTAAAGTGTCTTTCTGCTCCATGAGGTCATTCATGGTTTCTAACTCTTCTTTCAACTTTTCCATTTCCTGAAGGGTACAACAAGTTTAATAGAGCATACATAAATCCACACACGCACACACGCACACATACACAAACCTCTTCTTTATCCCTCAGTGTGTTCTCCAGCTCCTCTATGGTTTGGTTGAGTTCTGTTTTTTGTGATTTGATCACTGGAGTCTGGGTACTCTGACACTCCAGCTCTGTCACCTGGAGAAAAGACAAGAACATTGATTTTGTTTATTTCTACATAAAAAAAAGTGAATGATGTTTGGAAATCATTTTTTCATCATTCATTTCATCATTTTGTCACTTTTCATAGCTTTTCATATTTAAACAATTTCCTCCAGATTTCAAAAAAGTATTTTTGTCTCTGATCAATTTAAAATTTGACCTAATATGTCAAACGCATTTTCATTCGAATTGTCCAACTGTATCAACTTACATATTGTTACATTTATGTCCATACATTGCCCTTTTCCCTGATCTCGTATTTTTGGTCTCTCAATTATGGCTTTTCTTATAGTTAAGATTACATAAGTGTAGTATAATTAGTAAAAAATACTAATATATTATATATTATAATATTTTCATTACTTTTATTTATTTATTTTGTTTATTACTTTTTATCTTAGAAGCCTCCACTTTGTTTTTTCAGAATTCTATGGCTGCATTCTGTTATACAGACACCTTTTCTCCCCTGGTAGAATTGACTGTCTACTCAACCTGTACTTAACGTGACTTAACCTCATCTAGACGATTTCTCCTGATATTTCTGAAAACAAATCACATACAACAAGCGGTCCTTCCTGTTTATCCTCTCTCACCCGTTTGTGTAGTCTCTCGGCCTCCTCCTGGTAGGCAGCCAGTTGCTGTTTCCACTGTTTGACATTAGCAGTGGACTCCAGCAGAGCTGCTGTTAGCTTAGCATTGTTCCCCTTCAGTGCCTCCAACTCTGCTTCCCAGTGTTTTGTCATGGCGGGGCTGGAAAATATAAATATATATAATAAAGTAATAAAATATTTTTTATTGTGAATGTGAAGAATGCAACCCTGTGATGACTCAGCAAAATCTGCACTCAAAACAAAACTTGGATGTTCTGGATATTTATTTGTATAATATACACAGACACACACACTTATTTTTGCAACCAGTTGTTAAAGTTATGGTGGAAAAAAAATCAGGACTATAAAGTGGACTATATTTTGCTATGCTATATTTTGATTGTTTGAGCTCTCCAAAGAAATTAGATGCACATTCCTTCATTCAGCCGGCAGCTTTGTTTAAGTCTAGGCTCAAACCTTTACCAAGGTCAAAGTAAAACACATTTTAAGCACTTTTAAGGTCACTTTCATAAGTAAAACACCACCTTACAGCTCTAGTTTTAGGGGGCAGTTCATGGTTACACTTTAACACAGAGTCTAAGGTTTTGTTCAAATGGAGCAAGTTCCATAGTTACATTTGACAAAAAAACACTCAGCAAGCAACTGAAATACCTTTATCATCTGATATCAAGTGTAGACATGATTTATAATTTTATGAAAAATGTTAATAACAATAACGGATCTTGTATAATAGAATGAAACAACTCAGGGGTTCAACACACCAACACAAAGGTAAAGACAAAAACTGACAAGGTCTTCAGCAGACCCTCGGACTGAAGGTCAGAACTTCCTAGACAGAAAAGCCGTAAAAGCATCAGTCTGCCTCATCATGTAATCTGAGATTATTTCCTCAGTTTGGTTGCTGCCTAATCCTGTCCAGCTACTCACAAATGAGAAAAACTAGATGCGAGAGAGAAGGCAAGTGATTGAACGTAATTGTATTATATGATAGAGTGGCATGTGTGGGAGGAAATGGCTGATGGGGGGGGGGGGGGG